TCACTCTGAAATAGTGCAGCGAAGAAGCCAGCATCATATTAAATAGTGTTTTTTTTTCACACTGTGAGACTAAAGCTAAGCTGCACACACACCGTACAAGCTTTGAGTTATAACAGCACTATGAAAAGAGTGCAGTGGAAACTCATTGTGCGTGGGCTGTAGGTACTGTAAATAACACAAGATTAGAAACTAACAATGCCAGGCGTTCCTCAGATGCATTACAATGCAGACAGGCCATCTGGGCTCATTACCTCCATGTATAGATCAAATGGAGAATCCTGATTATGCAATCCTGATTTTTTTTTCTCCAGGGAAAGTTGAAAGCATGTGTACTGTTTTGCAAGTATATCCTGCCATACGTTCCCACAGCTCAATGCAATCTAACTTGGTTCAAGAACATAATCTTCTGTCAGACACAAGGAATTGGGGCTCAGCCCGAAGACACTTTAATACTACTTGTGAAACCTTACTTATTCACTTCCCCAGCTCAGTTTGGGTTGGAGGATTCATACTGGCAACATTCATGATTATCACTTCTTCACTTCCTTAAAAAGGAACAGTTCATTATCTCTATAGATGTGTAAGTGTAAGTTTGTTAATTGATGTCAAATATTTGATTTCTTAAAAGAATAGCTTAGCTTATGCCACATTCATTTGAGTTTTCGTAATTACCAGTTTCCGACTTGTAAATAGTATTCAAGTAGTAATTATGACTGGGAAACTGATTTCTCTAAAAGCTCTGATATATCAGACATAGCACTTAATAGTAGACCAAACAAAAATGGACGCCTCACACCATCGTTCAATGTAACTGAACCTGCATTTGCTGTTATATTGTTAATGCATACACAACTAACTCTATAACTATACAACGGTCTTGATGACAAGTTTCATCTTTCAGTAAGAAAGCTAATAAATATATCTCCCAAACTGTCAAACTATTCCTTTAATCCCAAATCTACCTTAGTCCCCATCCCAGCGGAGTAACAGAGTGAAGAGATGAGATGATAATTATCTGGCAATTCTGTCATTCTGCCACAAATCTCACACTGAGTCTATGTTAACCCTCCTCTTTAGGTAGTCAACACTTTTTGTAGAAACTGTGCAAAGGCAGCACACCAGTGTGTTCACACAGCAGAAGGAGGTACAGGGTTAAAGCATTCTGTATTGGACACTCACGGTAGGTGTTAGGTGTAATTTAGGACAAACCATGAAAACAATCGACAAGCAGCAAGCAAAGCAGTTGCTAAAAGCTTGGAAAAGTATATAGATCAAATCAGACCCAGAGGGAGGGATGTGGTAGTTCAGGGGCTTGTTTTTTTCTTTTAGTTTTTTTTTACACACGTCCCTCATCGAGATGTTGTATCTGACAGCTAAACAGGCTGAAATAGGTCATCACCAAAAAATAAATCAAAAGACCAATGGGACAAAAAATGCAACCCTCGCAACTCAAAGTGACTGTTATTAGTTGCGATGAGCGCTCCACTCGGAGCTGTGGCTGCAGAGAAAGACCCATTTCCACTTTCCTTGTTATCTGCAGAGAAAAACGCCACTGAAGCAAAGAAATAAAACTGCTGATCGCCAGGGAAAAACGTACACACACACACGCATGGTCAAACACGCAGAGAAAAACACAAATCGCTTCCTTCACACATGAGCGTCCACTAGACAGGCATTCAAATCCATCGCTCCAATCATTTATCAATCCAGATCAACACAATGCACGGCAGTGAGAGCACATCAAATGCACACAAACAGACACAAAGACCCAACAACAGGCCGATGTCTTTGCACTGTGAGCATGCCATTAGTGTGTGCCGTAATGGAACTATATGGTAGAAAGGAGTGGTTCCATTTAACTAGCCTCCAGGAATCAGATAACTCCACTCAGCACATACTGAAGGCACTTAGGCATTAGACAGCAGAGTTGGAAGAGTGTGTGTGAGAGAGAGTGAGAGGGAGGACAACGTGGACGTAAATGTTAGAAGACAAGTACATCTTTTGTGTCGCAGGTTCTGTGCAGACTGACATGATCACATCCATTGAGGAGGGGAGTCTCTGCCACAAACTAAAGACGGCGACCAGAGAACTAATGGTTTCCAGCGTCCCTGTTGGCAAATTCCCACTTTTCACTCTCCCTTCTGTTCGGTCCCTCTCTCCCATGTCCTTTTATATTGTCACCCTCTCTCCTTCCGCCTCAATCTTTCTCTCTGCTTCTCCTAATTTCTGTTAGATTGCCTCTCCCTCGCCTCCTCAGCACCCTGCTCTGTCACAAAAGGACTTCCTCTTCCCACCACTCGTCTCTTTCCATCCTTCCTCACTTCAAATCTCATTATCGTATTCTATTTCCTTAATTAATCCCACCACCTGAAATAGAATTCTGTAGTCAATTTAAGGCTTTTGGTTTCATTCATTAACAACCACACACACACACACACACACATACATATTACAAATGCACCGTCTATGCAAGCACAGTACCAGCAGAACACTGTAAGTCCTCTAAACACTTTCAGTCAAAGTGTGACAGAGTACTCATCTCAAAGGAAACACACCTCGGTGCAGCTGTATACATAGCTTATAGTAAAATTCCTAACTTTTTGTGCTTGTACTCTTTCTCCATAAAGGCTCAACGGTTCAAGATTTCAGCTGATTACAAACCAGGAATCCAGTCAAAAATCAATAAAGGACTTCCTCTAAACTGGACAAGCCTCTGAGCTGCAGTCTAACAAAGTGTCCAGAGGTTGGTGTGACTTGCTCTGAGGAAGCACAGTGTGGCTGCCGGCAGTAGCAGGGCCAGGGCTGGAAGTGGAGCCGCTTGTTTAGCAGACCCACCCTGACCAGCACAAAGGGGGGCAACGCCCTCCTCCGCCACCAGCCAACCCAGACAGCACCCTGATTGGCCAGCTGGATGACCTTTGATCCCTGTTGTATTGTGGTCTCAGCTGCGCCAACCCTCCCCCTTGTGTGTGTGTGTGCACGCATGTGTGTGTGAGTGGACAACAAAAGGCAGCCAAGTCCTAATGCAGCAATCAGAGCAGTGGAAGAGGGGAAATGGTCTAAGGGGAAATGGAGAGTGTGTATGTGTGTGTACTGCTGTGTAGATTGAGGCAGTGTAATTATGTTCTAGTTGTGATGACTGAGTTGCAACAGAGATTAGCTACATCAGAGTTCATTTGTATCCAGCAGCCCCTTGGTTTGGACTTTGGAAATTCTAGCACCTCTATCTCTCCTCTATCCCCAGCTCCAGGACAAATCTAGCCCCCCTCTAGCCCCAGTTCTGGACCAAACTTAGCGGTCTTCTAGTCACAGCTCTTGACCAAACATTGCCTTCCCTTAGCCCCACCCATTGATCAAACCTAGCCTTTCACTGGCCCCAGCTCCAGCTCAAGACCAAACCTTTCTTTTATCTAACCGATAGTTTGGACCATATCTAGTCCCTTTAGCCCAGATCAAACATATCCTTTCATCTAGCCCTGAGCACCACACCAGGCCTGTCCTCTCACAAGCCATAGGTATGGAATAAACCTAGCCTTCCTTTAGACTCATTCTCCACACCAAATCTAGGCCTCCGCTAGCACAAGCTTTGGCCTCAGCCATAGACTAATGTAGCTCAAGCCCCAGTTTTTAGTCTACTCCTAGCCAACCACTAGCCTCAGCTCCAGACCAAACCTAGCCTTCATTTAACCCAAGTTCTAGACCAAAGCTGCCCTTAAAGTAGCTCATGCTCCAGACCAAACCTAGCCATCCTCCAGCCTAATCTCAGGCCAAATTTAGTTCTTCACTAACCCCGATCCTGGGTCAAACCTAGCCCTCCAGCCTGGCCCGGGAGCTGTCTGTGCAGGTGGTCTAGGGCTTGTGGGCTGAGACACCCTGAGCCCTGTACCTACTCTCTTAATACACCCCATGTGACTCACTCTCTCTCTCTCAGAGGCAGTGGGTCAGGGTAGACCACCCCCTAACAGCATGACTGGCTGTCTGAGGAATGCCATGTCATGGAACAGATGGAGCTCCACAGACAATAGAGCCGCATGCACTTAGCGGGCCTGTATAGGAAGGCATGTGCCAAGTGTGTAAGGGAGTGTGTGCATTACAGCCGCAGTCTCTAAGTCATTTGAATGCCATCCTTTTTTCTTTTTTTTTTTGCTCTCCAGTTCTATGAATCCCCCATTCATGTCAGGAAACAAGAAGTGTGGGAGAGATCACAGGAATCTGTAGCACTTTTTCCAAGAAAGAATAAGCCCCTGAACAAGTTTATAAATGATGCAACCAGGCCCAAAGACACAACTGACCTCACAGCATGATGCAATGGAGAGAGACAGGCACAGTGCTGCAGACAGGTAGAATTATGGTCGTACATATTCAAACTCAGGGCGCGTGTTTCAACTGCGGCCATGCTGTTCCTGGAGAAAATACCTGACAACCTATGTACAAATAATTACCCAGCAATCAATGTGACTCTTTACAGCTCAATCGATATCACATTAACTCATTCCCACGCCAATAATGACGTAATAACCCACATTCCTGGCAATAGTTGGTGCCGTAAGCTTTTGATAGGGAGCTAGATTTCAATAGCAGGCTTTATTTAACACTATAGCATCACTGGAGTATTCCTTGAAGATAATCCATATCCGTGTGCCGGTAGTTTTGTGTAAGAGCCGATCAGAGTCCTGCTAGAATATACTTATTCCTCTTTCGTTATGGATCAGGGATGTAAACCTGCTATCAAAGGCTGGAGCTGCCACATTTCATTCATTTCACACATTAAGGGCCCGGTGGGCGAGATCCATATCCAAACGCGTTGTTGCAGTTGTATCCAAACATTAGAATCAACCCCGCAACTCACAGATCAAGGATCCAACGTCGTTTTGAGAGGATCGTGCGCTCCTTGGTCGCGGATTCATTCATTATAAAGACATTTACCGGGGGTCTCCACATTACCCTGGAAGTGTCAGTAAACAGGGATGCCAGACCGGACGGGAGACCAGTGAACTCACCCAAGAGAACGACGGATGATCGGCTCCCCGCTCCCCCTCTGTGTAAATCCAGGACCCCGGACAGAAAGATATTCTACACGAGAATTATCTGCAAATGGCAAAAAAAAATCACAAAATGTTCTTCATCCGCGCTGTGAAAGCGATGTGTGGAGGCGATGTGGAGCCGTAGATAAACCTGGTCGCTGCACACACACACACACACACAAACACAAAATAAAAAGGTTCACACCAGCGATTCAAGGGAGATTTCGGTGAAATTGGTGTATCTGTAGTAATCTCGGATGCTTTGGTTGTTAACTGTGCACTTACTGGGCTGCTTCCCCCGGCTCCACCCGCTAACCCAGCCTTCCCAGTGCGCCCATTGGCACAGACGGCCGGACATGCAAATCCACTCTCCCCATTGATGTTTTCCAGAAGAGAAAAAAATAAAACAGCAGGGTCTCTGTTTCAGTCGCTCCGCTGCGCCACCGTGCGGCCGCTTAGCTCCTGTGGTGGTGGGTTACTCCAGGCATCCCTGTGGGGAAAGAAACAACACCAGGGAGCTTACAGGGAACAGGTGCCTTGCTTAAGGGTACTTTGTCAGGTCAGATGCCGCTGGGGATTTGAACTCAAGTCCTTTGGCCATTACAGTGAGCAGGACGACTTTTACACAGGCTGAATGCACTCAATAAATAATAATGGAATAAAGCCAAGCTCTTTATGGTTCAGTCTTGAGTCAGCGTCCAGCCCGGATATCACTTTACATTGAAGGCATGAATATAAAGGAGTTATTTTATTTTATTTGCATTGTTCATATTTAATTTATTCAATAAACTGTCAATAATATTCACTGTTAATGTTTCTTTCCAAGGGTAGGCCAAGGGTATATCGATTCAGACATGTTGTTTCGAAAGCCATCAACACACTGAAGAATAAAATTGTTTGGGGGATTTTTTGCTCTGAAACTAGTCAAATTTAAAGTCTCCCTCCACTCAAAAATGTGTCTTTTTGTTTCTTGAGCCTCACTGTGTGGAATGATGCATGTGCAGAGTTTGACACTAGAAGACTGTTAGAAGGAAAGTTTCTCTGTGCTCACCTCGAATCTCACTTTAGGACGTGTACGTACAAGCAGGATCTTGTGACATCACGAGTAGCCTGGAAGCCAGTCACAGTCCAGTATGCAACTTACACAGGTGTGCTGTGGAAACTTGAAACATTCAGGTCACATCTACTGAGAATTGACTTTTCAGAGAAGTAGGAGACATCCTGTGTCCAGCAGTTGGAAAAGACAGCCCTGTTGATACGTGCCAAAGTGAAACTAGATGAACTTAAAAGGTAATAAAATAAAATTAAAAATTAAAAACAAGCAAACATAAGGTTACTATTACCAGTAATCATCCTAATAGCTGAGGACAGAAAATGAACAGTAAAGTTGTAATATAATTAAGCCAGTCCAGCCTATATAATAAAATCAGTAAAAGCCTACTGGGCAGAGAGACTTACTGTCTCTTAATGTTCACACTGTGGTCTCCAGTAGATTCTAACTCTGACAACATCACATTCTTTTTCATTCAGCAACACTCACAATTAAACCATAGAGGTTTCTGTAAAACATAAGTAAACACAGTCATTCCCCCAGAATGCGTCTCCTGATATGCACCATGCGTTAACTTCATAAATTAACTGGTCTTGGTAGAAATAAAGAACCCCTCACCAGTTCAGTGTTAGCCCTAATGAAATGTCTTGAGACTGGGACCAAAAAGAGCTTATTCTCCTCCAATAAACTGCAGCCAGCTGCTTCTCACACACAGAGAAACGCTCCAACTTTCCGTTGCGTGAAACTACAAGAGAAGAATGTGCTTTTTCTTCTCTCAACATGTGCTGCAGTTATTAACTGTGGCCAATTCCCAAACTCAGAAAAATAAACAGTGATTTTGATGTAGTGTATCAGAGCCAGCCTCACTGTAGGAACAGCTCAGCAGCTGTACTGTACAGGATGTAACGGAGCTCAGAGGGACACTAACAGCAAGTGCTAATGGAGGTACAGTAAAAGGCTGCATCTTTCTCCATCAGGTTTATACGATGTCAGTGAAAGCCTCACATCCCAGCTCCTGTGGTGTGAACAATAACATTTAGCGAGCAGCCTGCAGACAGTTCTGTAGTGCTGTGACAGCTTGACTGAGGACAAAATAGGCAGCACTGCCATGATACAAAAATAGACCCATCAATGCCACCGTTAACTTAAGTCTTACATTTTGTGAGCCAAAAATATTGTACCATGATGCTTTAACGGTCAATACAAGAACTGTGTAGGTGGAGAACGAGGTCAAACATGGCCTCCGGTCAATGACGTTTCCCAAAGAGGGCTAAAACTGAAATGGAAAGATCAATACAGAGTGAAGAAAGTCTTTGGCTTATAGCCTGTTCTTGACACCTGCCAGTAAAAGCTCAATTGTGATACAAATAAATCTCTCATATTTTATTTCATAAAAAACAACACACAGCACACTGCCTTGTAGGTTACAGTACACATCCCTCATAAAGAAACAATAAAAAGGACAGTATTTCACATGTTGTTTTATGTCAATATATTTTATAATGCAAGGCCATTACTCACTGGGACTCCATTAGACTGTCTTCCCTAATTCCTCTGATAATCTGCTCATATAGTCTGCCAGTCATCCCATTTAGGAGAAGGCTTCATTCGCCAACTCATCAGGCAGCAGCACACAAAGTCCTTCTAACAAAAGAAAGCACTTGGCAGCATCAGTTAGGCAATGCAGGGCTTATTATGTGTCCTTAAGACAGAATATACCCATTCTCTTGGAAATATGTTGGACCTTGCTGTCAGACTGGATTCATTTTAGCCAGAAGCACACAGAGGGAATATTCATCTTTCCTTTTCACAAAAGCTGGCTTGAATGAACAGCAGCAGTGTGTGGTGTGTTTGCTGTGACAGAGAGATGTAACCATTTAGCCAATATGATCATTCACACACACTCAAAATGAATTAAATAATCTTCAATTAATAAAGAATGAATCAGTAATATAGCCATTTGGGGTTCAGCATAATATTTGTTATGACTCGACTACCGCCCTCTTTGTCAAAGTGATGAAATTTCACATCATAGTTAATAAGTATTTATGTGTGTGTGAGAGCTGAGTCGAGCCCCAATGGGTGACATGTTGTGGTGGGGTCGTCCAGTCATTACACCCTCACACTGATGGACTGTAGCACTGAAAGGAGACAGGCATAGAGAGTCAAGCACATCCATGGTCCTCATTGGAGCACGTTGCCACAGTTACATATTGACATAGTGTTAAGTCTTAGGTACGTCTGATCCCACATCTCCACATCTTTTCTGTCCCTTTACTTAGCAGCCCACTCTAAAAAAGTCCTAAGAAGATTTAGGTAATAAACTAGTCTCTGAGGGTCTAAGCAGTGGCCTGTGCTGCCTGCGCCACCTGCCTTCTCTGGTTGTAGTTGTTGTACACGTCCATGAACATGTCCCTGCACGGCATGCGTGCGCTCAGTTTGGAGCAGATGAGGAAGGAGCCGGCCATCTTGCGGTGGAGGGAGTACGTCTCCTCGGGTGGAGGGGTGAGGCGGTGGCGTAGCATGACGGGGACGAGGCTCTGGATGCGCTGGGTGGTGCTCTGGGTGCCGAAGTCGAAGGGCTCTGCAGACGCAAAGGCTTCACCGAGGATCATTACCGCCTCCACGTGGGCATCCGCAAAGGCCTGGTAGGGAGCATGGAGAGGTGTTATAATGGCTGCCTGTGTGCATGATAATCAACTGAACTAAGATTTCAGTATAGAAGCTGATAGCTGTAAAGTAGAATAGAAGGTTATTTCCCATGTTTGTGTCCAAGTGACTAATGGAGACAACAATTTTTGAAATTGGTCCAATACTGAGTGAGAGAGTGAGAACAGACCTTTTGGTAAAAAAAAATTAATCGTCATTTTGCATTGAAACATGGGAGTTGCTGGCCTACCACTGCCTCCACTGGTTGTTTGTTATTGTGTGACTTTATAAGAATCTGAGCCTGTCAGTTGCAAAAACAAGCACTTCTAGTGGGCGTACTTTGAAGGTGTGCAATTCCCCCGGAGGATTACGTTGCAGTTTCTCTTTAAGTTGCATTTTTGAGTGCTTGAAGGAACACTTACTGGAGATGTTATAACCTGAAGTGCACATTATGTCGTATGTAGCCATACTGTATATACAACTTCATGGTATATGTACACATTTTCATGTCTGAAACTTAGAATAAATTGTGTTTTTTATGTGTTCTCCCTTGGCTATTGTCCTCTATACAGTCACATTTGATATAACACTAGGATTAAGATTTCAGATAAGGAAAACAAGCAGAATAAAGACCACACTGTGCATAGTTCATCCAACAATTAACAACTTATTAAAATATATAATTCTTGTCAATTACAAAGTAAATCATTTTTATTTCCAATGGCTCAGTTTCTGTTGGGCTGAAAACATGACCTCTTTAGCAAAGAAAAATCCCCCAAAAAAGAAAGATCAGGCACTATGACTGCTGGGAAAGCACATCAAGCACAGGGAGTGAGACTGAGGTAGAAAGAGACACAAATAAACAACAGAGAGAAGACAGAAGAGACAGAGGAGGATAAACCATGTTAAAAATAAATGAGCACAGCAGCAGAGACTGAAATACCTTACCTTGGCCTCGAAGCCTGTCAGGAATTTCAGGTCCTTCGATTTGGAAAGAACAGTGGCTCGATCACCCACGGAAGCTGCGTGCACCACCTGAACATGCGCACGAAATGATGATATGGATTTGGTAATCATGTTTATTTAAAGAGCTCCACTTTAAAGGCGCCGGTAGACTGAAGTAGCTGCAAGTTAGGGAATGTGTGCACATGTGTGTGACTGTGTGAGATCGGTTTTCGCCGGCTGTTGCAAAATTTAGCCCAAGACTCGAATGCTTAATTATTCACAGAAATCTTGTTGCATAAATCATGTTGTGTGATTCACTAGTGGGTGTCTTATAATTTTAGATTCATCATACCTGTATGTAGTCATCTGTGAAGGATTCTGGGTAGCTCCTGCACGCTCCAAAGTCCAACAGAACAACCTGCGGACAAGATGAGTGTGTTATACATATGATGTTTTTCTTTGGTACAATTAAACATTTGGTCACCGTGGCATCCCTTTCTGTGTGCATTTACAACTTTACTACCAGGCTCACCTTCTTGGTGTCTGAGTTGTAGAAGAAGTTGGCCCAGTTTGGATCCGTCTGCATGAACCTAAACTCAAACACCTCCCTGAGACACAACTGGAGGATCTTGTAAGAGATCTGGAGACGGGGAGAGAGGAGAGGTTTGTGTTCACTGCCATGTTGTTATCATCAATGTGATATTTTCATGCTATAGCTCCTGTTATGGTCTGATGCATAAAATGTATTTCATACATCTTATTCTATTTGATGTGGTGATGTTTGGCACAGTGCACTGCCACACACTCTGTCTGTTAGATGACTCCTTACTGTAGGTCATGCTCCAAATGCATAATTGTCAACTATTAAATGCATATTTCTACAGTGACACACAATCCACTTTTCACTGCTACTGTCCTGTTCACACTGAGGTTCTGCTTTATCATTTGCCAGAAAATAACTTGTTTCTCTGCCATTTTCTAGCCCAGTTTTGTACTTATTACAATTATGGCACATTCCATGTATGTTACAAATAAAAGTGACCTACATTATGCTTCCTTACCAACGAGGGGTGCAATACAGATATACACAGAGCAATTCAATCTGCTCCTTTTACTTGTCATAGCGTTTCAGCTTTAATTGGTTCCTACAATTAGATGTCCAGACTGTATCTATCAGCCATAGTGTCCCTTATGTCAAATATCATTGACATTTTCTTTCACTTTACATATATTGACAGATTCTAGCACTTTTATTACTTGATACTGGTTTCCTGAGGTGATATAGCTTTGGTGAAGAAAAAGCTAAATTCAGAATCACCACATAGTCCAATAACAATATTTGATATTTGATGTGACATTGAGGACGTTCAATGACAAATAGGATCAATGTGCCTGTTGAGTCAACTCATACCTCATTCCTGGTCTCCTGGTCCAGGTCTACGCAACGGTCCAGTGGGACTCCCTGTACCAGCTCCATGGCCAGCACCCTGTGGCCTGACAGCTCATCGATCACCTCAGGGACTTGAAAAAACTCATTTCCCTCCAACAGGGACCTGGAGGCCACACACGGAAAAAGACAATACAGACAACCCATCATGATATATGTGGAATAAGTTATAAAATGTGCACGTAACAACAGTCAACAAAGACTAAATATTGTGACTTAACATAATGTTGTTGTCAGTATAAAATTAAACTAATACTACGTAGAAATGCATATTAAAGGAATACACTGATTTTTTAAAAAGAGTGCAATATATATGCTGTTTTGTAGCAGCAGCATTTAGTGAAATGTTGATCTAATAACAGAGTAACCATCCAGAAATTTAACAGCTAACCTGGTTTCTGTTCTGCGCAGTTAAATGGTGCGTAAAGGCTCACCAAAGGGCTTCAGTGTAGGAGGCTTTATGGTTCAATACGCCACATACAACTAACCTGAACTTCTTGGCACACTCTGCTTCCCTCTTGTAGTCACACTCCCATGCCAGCTCTCTCTGAAGAACCTCTAAGCTGCTGTCTGCAAACAGACCTGTGGAAAAATAAACAGTGTAAAACTCAGCAGAAAAACTACAGAAAACATACACTCAGTTTTAAACACAGCAATGTAACATGTGCAAATGAGCAAAGCATAAAAACTACCCCTATAGTGTATATTGAGACTGTAGTGTGTGCATAACTAGATACCATATAAAACGGTAATCATTAGTTAAGATAAATAGCTTAATATTATTTCAACTGATGTTAAACATGCATGCTTAGGGATAAAAAGGAAACAAGTAACATCTTTATAAATTATGCAGATGTCCCCATTGTCACCCAGCAACAAACATGTCACCCAGCTTTGACCTGAAACTACAGCACCACCCCCTGGCTATAAACTGTAATAGTGAAAAAGAGAACAAAACAGAAACAAATCGGCGTCTATAATTACCTCCTAACTTAATGATGGGGGACAGTCAAAGAGGGATAACAGCTATGTTTTTTCTTAGAAGTTGTATTTCTTATCCTCAATATGTTTAAATTCTGCATTTATAAAACAGAAAATAAATAAGACTTTTTCAGGCCAACTCCTGTTGATAAATTTAAATTAGATCAATTAAGCTCAACCTGCAGTAGTCGAGTATGCTAACTGTCTGAGCCTTTCATGTGTAAATATATGCAAAGAAATAGCTAATTTTAATAATTACTGTATGTTTATAACTGAGCAGAAGTCTTGAGTGGACAAAGAACTGCAAAAAAAAAAACAACAACAACACTGATGTAATTGTTACCTTCTGGAAGGACCACGCTCATTTTCAGAACTGACATGAGGTTGTTTATGTCGCTGTGGATGCTCTCTGCCACTCCGGGGTACTGGGAGGAATATGGGAATAACAGATCAAATCAATGCAGCCAGAGAAAGACTGTGAGGCTGTGAGGGAGACAGAAATAGAATGTGTTTCAATACCTGGATCTTCATGGCGATTTCTCTACCGTCTTTTAACACCCCGTGATGCACCTGGCCGATGGATGCTGCTGCAAACGGTTTTTCCTCAAAGGACGATAGCTTCTCTCTCCAGCCTGGCCCCAGTTCCTCCTCCAGAACTTTCTACACAATCAGACCCGCATGAAAAAGGTTTTTACTCTAAGACCAGCCTTAAGAACATGGATCTGACCTTTAAAAGTCTACACACATCAAGCTGCACTTGGTGAAACTATTTAGTGTAATCTCATCTTGTCAGAATAACACACTGCAGCACTTTCCCATTAAGGTTTTTGACACTATTTACTGCTAGTCCACAAAATATCTAGGTGTCAGGGACAGGAGGGTCAGTTCATGCTTACATTCATCTGCCAGGCAGGCATGAAGTCTGCGCTCTGTCGGACCCTCTCAAAGATCTTCTGCAACTGGGGGTTAATGAAGGAGTTGTCTGAAGAAAAAATAAGAAGTTGTCAGAAAAAAAACCCACTTTCACTGCCTAGAAATCCAGTGACTGTGAGGACGTCTGAACACCATTTTGCAGTGATGCCATTGCTGCAGTGCGTACCTTGAATACTAAGCATCTGTCCTATCTTGAGTGCGGCCCCACGGACCTTGCACAGCGTGCTGACTATTCTCTCAGCATTGGCCTCTGACAGGAGAGGAGAGTCTAACAGGGCACCCATTTCTACAAAACAGACACACACACACACACAGAAGGATTATTTGCAGTGATAACACAACATATTAGAGGTACAATGGCAAAAACAAGGGTCATTTGTTTTAGCAATTATCTTCAAGCTCCAGCCCCAACAAGCCAACTGTAGAGAGCAGTGTATAAAAACTGACAGTGGTACATCATTAAACACTGTTCATTTAACACATGTTAAAGCCTCTCTTTAAGTTCTTGTTAACAGGTTTGATTTAATGCCTGGCCACTGTCTGGCAGGTGCTGACACATGAGAAACTTCTCCAGGGCCGACCAGCTGTCCATCTGTCTGCTGGATCTGCCGAGCGTGCACTGGACCAAAAGCTATTTTACAGGATGGGAGGAGAGACCAACAGGAGTGAGTAGAAGGATATTTTTACCTCCTTTTTGTTTGCCTCCAAATGACTGTTTCGCCACTTCTGCAATGGCACCGATCCCGAGTCCTACTGCCAGTCCTGCAGCGGAGAGATGGAGATACAAGTGATTTTAAATTTAGGGCCACTTAACAGACACTTGATGGAAGCACCGAGCCTACACAGCCGCTGCTGCTAGTTCAAGACTGAAATCATATTTCATGTCTCGTATCTTTTGCAAAATATTTTTGAAATTCTGACAAATGCAAAAGTATTTCCTTTTCTTTGTAAACACAGAAAGCACTTGGGTCAATGCACAAATTTTAAACCGTACAGTGAATGAAAAACAATTTCTGAAATATAAATTGCCAAAAGGAATGTATTTTGGATAAAGACTTTCTAACAAATGTATGTATTCTTAATGCTTTCTAATGGTATACAGTATAATTAGACTTTGTTCCATCATATTTAGCTATGAACCACTGATAACGCTGGAACCCCATAGAGCTGTGTGTTACGTCATTCACCTCACCTTGTGATATGGGGTGTCAGTGTTGGCATAATAAGGATAAAATTATGGCAGTAGTAAAACTGCAGCATGCTGTATGTTTCATTTTCATGGACTTAATTTGCAGTATACTAGGCCAGGCTTACTCGGTTACCAGTTTATAAAATCTGACGTAAACAACAACAGCGACATAGCAGCAGTAATTCAATATGCCTCTAAAAAAACACAAAAGAAGACCGTTCCACCGCCTTGTATTGTGGGACACAGTAGGCGAGGTACACTGGTTCGGTGGATACTGGAGATTTTTTTCTGAATCAATACCATTAGTATTTTTAGCATATTGCAGTTTTAGCTATTGCTTGCCTATTGTATACTACTATATACTACATTTTAGTCAAACCAGTATGTACTGCTAGTACGGTTTCAAATACAGCCTTTGTCTTGTAGATTAGTCCCTTTATGACTGACAAGGGAAGTCTGATCATTTGGTTTTATAGCTACACTGTATGTGTGTCACTGCTGCTCTCTTTGCTCTGAACTTCCTGTACTTACAGACTGTCAGCTTGTGCTTTTCCTAAGCTAAAACATTTTAATGTACAAAGTCTTATTTGCCTTGCTGTGCTTGGAGCCATGTGGCAACCTGGAGTGGAACAAGAAGGATTCTCTCTTGGACATTGTGCCTTGCCAAATATGATGCACTCAAAAAAGTATACTAAAAATACTAAAGTAACTATATTGTTCTTACCCCCAAAATTAACCAGCCGGCTGATTCTTGTGGCGGGCACCTTCCTCTCTTTGGCACGGTCACTCAGCTGAGGGATGACATTACAGACAGTAAAGACAATTAATATAATAAATATATTAATACATTTATTTTAAATGATTTCTAAAGATGGATTTGATGGTGGTTCCCTAACTCTTTAAACAAAAGGGTAAAACTCTTCAGCTAGTGACCTTGAATTACATCACAAAGACCCACACACTGTATATGACACACATTACACAACATGACAACTCAAAATATGATCTAGCACCTGTCTGTGTTTCATCTCCAGCAGATACCACTATGAATATATAACTGTATAACTGTATATATATATATATATATATATATATATTTTAAATCAAACTTTGTCTGCAGATGGAGTGCGTCAACCAACCTTCTGTCTGACAGGCTTGGCCAGGGCCTGCTTGGCCTCCCTCGCTTTCTTGATGTCCTCAGGTGTGAGTCTGGCGACCACCGTGTCGTGGACAGACCTGGTCTGGTAGTAGTACCGGTGGAGACCGCGGGTCGTGTGGAGAAAGCGAGCACTCTGTCCGGGCCAGCCCGCTCCTGCAGGAGCTACCCCTGGGGGAGGATGAACTCCTGTGGCAGGGAGAGAAAAGGGAAATGTTCTGTTAAATATATGACATGAACATGGTAGAACCATTATGTGACTCTTTTAAAGTTTTAGTATAGTGGCCTGAGCACACACAAGAAAAAACTAAAACATGTGACAAAAAAGTGACATGTGAGTTTTTTGTATACTACTATGTTTGCAATAATTACAACACTGGAAAGGACCAATAGCATGAAAGTATTCTTATACAAAAAAACTCTTCTAGTGCCACAGACTTGGTGTACGTCACCTCCAGTAGATGCTAACAATCTGATATTGACAGTACCTGACTTCTCTGCTGCAGCTCCAGCTTCTGTCTGGCTTTGCTCCGGAGATTCAGGGGGGAACTCGGACCCCACAGCCCATTTGGCTGCCTCATCAGGGTCCATATTCTCCCAGCCCTCCACATCCGGAAACACGTCCTCTTTTACTGACTGCTGCTACAGACACAGCAAAGTAATTTGGCCAAGGAGTTCAGCCAAAATGTACTATATGTGCATACAACTTGGGCTGCATTTTACTGTTATTTTTATTCGATCAATTATTCTTTAAATTATTCAGTTTTGCACAGATAATGTCCATCACAAGTTCCCAGAGCCCAAAGAGATGGATTCAAGGTTTCTGCAGGAATCCTTACCGCAGCGCTGCCGCCCATAAAGGTGCCCATCAGTCCTTCCACCACATCCTGAGCAACTTTGACCCCAGCCCCCAGGGTGGAGTTGCAGGCCATTAACTGGAGCTGTTCACCCTGGGTGGTGACCAGGGCAGAGCCCACTTTACCTGCCCCACGCAGCACCTGCAGGACTTCTGATAGCATCACTTCAAACAGAGAGGTGGAGAGAGAGGAAGGAGTCAAGTTACACAGTGTAAGATAGTACTAAAAAGGTCAAGCACCAGACACACCCACCACACTCTTTTACCCGAAATAAGCAAACGTTTAATACATCTATGAATATATCTCTAACACGACAGATCAGTGTAAACATTGTAAACACACCCTGCTAGATGGTTTAACCTTGGGTGTGATTGGATGATGAACACGTGTCGCCCACAGTAACGGTGCCACAGTGAGCTGCGGTCCAGTAAAGACAAATTTACAACACATATAAAGAATAAAAGATAGGGACAAGTACATTACATACTCACGACTACATTAACGAGCTCATGAGCTAGCTGCTGTATCATAGTGTTAAACCATGTTGTGTAACTGAAGCTTGGCACGTTAGCTACGTCCAAACACTTATACACAGGGTTTATTCTTCCTTATTGAAATACGTTACTGAATGAAACATTCTGCCTTTAAAAAATGAAGTGACTCACTTATCCAGGGTTTTTCTCGGAGACTGTCCTCTTCCACAACTACCCGGTTGGATGTTTTGTAACGCCACACAACCCGGAAGTTAAAATTTGACTGACTTGACCGAGCACCAACCACAGTCCGAGATTTAATAAGTGGGCGGGACCCAGAGCTCAAAGGAGGAAGGAGTGTATTCCTTCAGCCAATAGCAGTGCAGTACACCAGATGATGGACGTGTAAAGCAGCACCATTGGTCCAATTACAGTAAAGGTAAGGCGGGCCTGCAAAGGAACAAGGTCTAATGAGAGTTAGGGGGTGTTGTCTTTTTGGAGGACGCATACATGCACGTGCAGCGAGGTACAGTTACCAAACAAGAGAGGGGGGGTACTGGACAGATGTTCTCTAACAGGTAATGATCAATTACACATCTCAGCTACAATTCAGACATTATGTTCAAAACTCAGCAATACAAAGACACAGACTTAAACAACAAATACAGACAGAATATTACACAACACAAACTAATATAGCACTAGTATATATCCTGCAGCATGTTTGTGCATATTTTCTTCTTATTGTGTGAATAGTTTTTGACTAAATTGTAAAAAAAAAAAAGAAAAAGTCTAATTACTGTTCTTAATTACAACTTGCTGGAATACTTTCAATCTGGACAAAAAACAAGATCCGATTCCTCGAAGAACGATAAACAGGAATATTTATCAGGAGATTAATCCGACAATATTTGTCCACTGAAACAGTTGGCCAGACCCTACAGACTAACTGAGAAGTTATTTTAGTAAAAGTAACATAAATACTTATGTTTGTACTTAAGTACATCTAACTATGAGAACTTGAATGTCAGTACGGTGTATAGCCTACACACAATGTAGTAGTGTCTGGCCCTCTGCTGGACTGAGAAGGTGCTGCTTTCTCCATCCTGTACAAAATACTGACCAGTGACCACTATGGCACACATACGGCATTTCTCCACCACTACCTATGTAAAGATCTATTTTGATGTGCACTATTTGTATGTAG